TATCCGGGACTGCAGCACTTGCTCCCGAGTTAGGTCCACTGCTCACAGCTTGGGGCTTCCTCCCCGCGTCTCTTGAGCTCTTGAACCGCGTCACTTCATCGGGCACACTACTCTTGGGAGAGTCCCCACTCGTCCTCGCTCCTCCTGAACTCCTAAGGTTCCCTCCCGACCTGGGGTAAGGCGAGTGTCTGGGCGGCCCCTCCCTCCTGATATGTAGTGCCTCCTCCAGCATGTCGGCTCGATCCGCTACAGCCTTCAGGTCCTTAATACCTGCTTCTCTCACCCTTACTCGCAACTCAGGATGGAGCACTGACATAAACTTCTCCATCACTATCAGTCGTTTGATATCATCCACCGACTCCGCTTCCTCCGCCTTCAACCATCGTAGGAATTTCCGTTCCATATCCCTGGCGGTCTCGGCGTAAGTCTTTCCCGACGCTCTTGTACACTCTCTGAACCGCTTCCGGTACATCTCCGGAGTCAGCCGGAATGAGTGGAGAACCGCATTCTTAATCGCGTCATAACTAGTACACTCCTCTAGGTCCAGCATGTTATAGGCTTCCCGGGCCTCACCAGTCAACCTGCCCTGGACCAGAGCAGCCCAATCATCTTCCGGCCACTCCTTCAGAGTTGCTATCCGTTCAAAGTGTTCGAAGAACGCCTCAGCTTCTTGTGGTTCGAACGTAGGTAAGTCACGTTCCCTTACCTTGAGGTCATCCCGCCGTGCAGGTAGTGAGGGCAGACCACGTTCAACGCGACGCAATTCGACTTCTTTCTTTGCCCTTATCTCCTCCAGTCGCAGTTGTCTCTCTCCTTCTTCTCGCTGCAGCTGAGCTTCTCGCTCCTCTCGCTGCAGCTCAGCCGCACGTTCCTCTCGCTGCAGCTCAGCCGCACGTTCCTCTCGCTGCAGCTCAGCCGCACGTTCCTCTCGCTGCAGCTCAGCCGCACGTTCCTCTCGCTGCAGCTCAGCCGCACGTTCCTCTCGCTGCAGCTCAGCCGCACGTTCCTCTCGCTGCATTTGCGCTTCTCTCTCTCGTCGCAGCTGGGCTTCCAGTTGCATCTTCATTATTTCCAGTTGCAGGCTCCTCTTACTACAGCTGGACCTTCCACTGCTCCCATGTTCACTGTGAATTCTCTCCACACTGGTAGGCGCTTGGGGAGGCCCTAGTCGGGACGGTTCACCTTGGGACGGCTCTCCTCGGGACGGCTCCTCTCCCGTCGCTTCCTCTCGAGCTGTGAGCTGTGCCATGATCTCTATCCTTCGCTCCGCTACCTTAGTCGTCCTCAACCTGATCCCAAAGTGGTTTGCCACTTGTTGGAGCTGGGCCTTGGTACACTCTTCCAAAATTCTCTCGTCCCTTGTGTCAATAAATTTCTTTACTTTGTCTTCCTCCATCTCTATATCATCAAGCATACACGACAGCACAGACAAGTTAGTAGGCACTAATTTCACCGTTTCAGTCCCTTAGCTGGTTGAGTAACAGTACCACCGAATTCACTGGCCACGCTGTATTAGTACCCTGGCAACACTTGTCTTGAAATTTGGTCCACACTGTAGCTTGATCCACGCTTCCTGGCGAAGTTCCCAGTTCTTGGCTACTGGGGTTCGAATCCTGGCGAGGTCGCCAGTTCTCTTGTCACGTGGGGGTGGGCGGTCCGGGGCTCTGCTAACACTCGGTTGCTAGGGGCTCAAAGGCCCAAATACTCAGCCCCTCCGACTCCCTGGATTCACCGGAGTCTCCTTGGTCACACAAGAGAGGACCAACAATGCCCACCTCCGCAGGTCTTTGCTTCCACCACAAAGGGGTGCCACTGATTCACCCTGGAAGCCCTTCAGTCAAACACGGGGAAACTGCTGTTAACAGTTCCGGCCTAGACCCGTGGGGGAGTGAAGGAAGACTCAGGCTTACCTATAACCATAACCTCCCTGAGTCTTGCCTGCCAGACAAAAAAAGGTTGCAGGAACTCCTTTCCCGCCTGTCTTCTCTATCTTCCTCTTAGCAAGGTCGCCAGCTGGGTTATTATATCTGCACCCCAGCAATGCAGTTCAGTGGGTGTATTATATATTGTTTGTAGCCAGAAATGTATGCTCATAGAGAAATATCATAAATGGAGGCACACTCAAACACAGTAATAAAATGTGTGGATTTACTGATGCAAATTACATGAACACACACACACAATCGCAAGTAATACATGAATATGGAATATGGATGATGAATCTGGAGATCGTCAGCCTCTTCTTCCACGACCTCCAACTCTCCTTCAACTGGGCAGGAAGACAGGAGTCTCACACTCTCACAGGAGGGCCTCTTCACCACGTCGGCACCTCTTCTTCACTGTCCTGCCATCCATACACACTGTCCTCTCTGACAGTCCTGGACACAAGCTGCTTTGCAGCCTACTCTACTATTAAAGTAATAAAGTCTTGCTGCCACATACACAAGTAAATATTGTGGCCTAACTAGCCTACTCATACAAGGGGTAATGGGAGGGAAAAATGATCTACCTTACACTCCTGGCTCACGACGCCTGTCCCTCGATGGTGTGAGGTTCCCACGCTTCCTTGGGTCGATCCTCGACGATCCAGGACGTTCCACAGGTCCTCAGGTGTCGTGAAGCCTTCGCGTCGTCGCCGTTCCAATCCCTGAGATTCAGCTGCCCCAATCCTGGTTCATCGATGGGCGCTGAGCTAATCACTATTTTTCCCCACACTCGCCTCTCCCACAGGGCGTCGCTCCTTGTCCTAGGCACGGTGTCGTCCTTCCAAGATTCTCAGTGGATGTGACCCCAGTCACAGCTAGCTTGCTCGCCCACCTTCCAGACCTCAACGTCCAGCCAGCGGCGCCGCCCAGCGTCGTCGCCGACTATTTTCCAAGTTTGGGCACTTCTCTGCTCACTGAACTTGGTTCCTCTTTTGCTTCCCAGAAGCGCAGGGTCTCCAATAACTGTGGTAGGCTGCGCAGGCCAGCTCAATCCACTGAACAAGGCTTGCAGAGCCTCCAATCTTTGAGAGCAGACCGAGGCGCGTCCTGTCGCTTCCACGGTCAGTACAACTCTGACGTTGGCGCCGCCCGGGGCACTCGGTGACGTCATGGCGGGCCCTGATTTGTCGCCCGCGACCTACGTCGGCCAATCCGCGATCGGCTTGTCTCCCTTCCAAAAGGTCATATCTGCCGTAGGGGATACTGTTTCATTTTATAACAGGGCGCCAATTTTCCTTTATTTACAACTTATAATATAACTTCTTTCCCTTAACTGGCAGCCGGTCTGGTCGCCACATATATCAATAGATTCCCTGAACCTCAGAGAATCAGTAGGGAGAGCTGATATGACTCTTTAAGCCGGCAAACGAAAGAAATAGGAGAGGGCACCGTAACAATATATATTTCATGTGAATTTTTGCCACCATGCTATTAATTGGCTTACCTGCATACACTGAATATTTTTCCAACATATCTTCGGCACTTTTAATTTTGTTAACTATCGACAATTCATCTAGGCCCGCCAAGAAAATTCCCACCTTTTCCATGAGATCCTTACCACATAAGCTAGGATTATGTGAATCTACTACATAAAAATCCTGAACAATTTCTTTCCTATTATAACCTACTTTTGTTGACACCTTGCCATAGACCTTAATTGGTACATTATCGTATGCACTTAATGATTTTCCACCGGGTTTTACATTCAATTGCAAGGTATCTGCCCAATCTCTAGGCAGTGTTGACACTACAGCACCAGTGTCCAGTTCCAAGGGAATGAACTTCCCATTAATTACAAAATTCACCACTTGTGACTTCACCGAACATACCTTTTCTTTCACCGAATATAGTCTGCTTTCTTCACCAGCAGCGTCTTCAGACGGTTTACCTTCCTCTACTGCCTTGACCACGGTACTGTTACCTCTTCTTCCTGCATTCCCCGGTCGTCTCTTCAAGGCCTTGATATTTATGTTCCAGTATTCTCTGCACATTTTCCTCAAGATACAAAAAGTTAGTTACAAGTTACATTTTCCTCAAGTTTCCTTCCTTGTTACAAAAGTTGCATGAAAGTGCAGTTTTGGGAACATTTAATTCGAAAAGACATGGAGATCAACTCAAGCCAAGGTTCACAGGGAATTTTGAAGACCTTTCAGGTGGGGGTGGGGCAACTAGTGATACCTATCCTCGTCGTCAAAGTAAAGTTTAGAATGGAAGAGAAATCATGGTGTTCTTCACATAGCGTTATTCCAACAACAACAACAAACAATGACGTCACCCGTATACGTTACATGACTTACTATTTACAATGCTTATAAACAAAAGAGCATCTGCTCAAAACATGATACACCTAACCTATGTAGTACTTAATCCTACAAAACACCTTAATCCTAACAGATATATTTTGTCTAAAGAAACTTGAACCTGACCTGACACTTCGTCATCCTGGAAATGTGGCTATTGACTACCTTATTGTTTTATTACAATTTTTATAGATTTGTATACAGCCCAAATTCTAGTAAAACTAAAAATTTAAACTAAATTTTTTGTCAAATTTGTTTTAAATTTTAAACGACTGAATTAATTTTAACATTATTTAGGATAAAAATTCACACTTACGCATTTATGAATTTTATGTAAAGATTTACACCAAGTCTTTCGTACTCTCCTGGGTGCTTTGTCAAGGTCTGAGTGTGTGATTAGGACGAGGCTTCCATCTGTATGACTAATGAGGCTGCTCTTCATTGCAGCCTCATGAGTCGTTGAAATTAAAGCAAGCAGCGGCATTAGTCTTTTGAGATATAAGTCTCGTTCTAACTATATACTCAGACCATGACAATGCACTCATGAGAGTGCGAAAACTAGTAAATCTTTATATAAAATTCACAAATACATGAGTGTGGGTTTTTATCCAATGTCATTATGTCTGTGAGAAGACATTACCATTACTTACTTAATATTATTATAAATACAAAAATAAGTTGAAGGTTAATGATTGATTCTATACTAGTTTCAGACGTGGCTGATCGTGTGGGAAGCCTGGTGAAGAGAGCTGGTATGGAGGAGGCGGTGACCTGCATCGTGTGTTCAGAGGTGTACCAGAAGGGCCCGAGGGATCCCCTGGTGCTGCCCTGCGGCCACACCTTCTGCCGCAGCTGCGTCACCAGTGTGGTGAAGACCGGAAACGCCCTTTGTCCAACCTGCAGGTCACAACATCAAGATGTTGAGGTGGAAGATCTCTTGATTAACTTCTCCCTGCTGAGCCTCTCCTCGACTTTTAAGGAATTTCTGGTATTGTGGTTTTATCAGATTTTATTTAGTATTTTAAATGTTTCAAATTATTCTGACATGAGAAAACACAAAGATATGATTCGTGTCCCTCAGGTTACATTTAATGACAAAATATTATGTATAATTGATTTGGAATATGAGACGAAATTTCAACACACAAACCCTAAAGCTACAGTAAGTTCAGAAGTGTGATCTCAAAATAAAGGAGTTACAGCAAGAGACTGAAAACTTAAAAACCACAACGTTGGAAGTAGATTATGGATTCAAAATATAACTTATTTACAAATATTCTAAGCAAAGCACAGATAAGTAGTATACCTTACAAATTAAATAGATCAAATACAAATGACCCGAAATGGATAACAAAGGATCTGAAAAACCTTATAGGTAGAAAGAGAGCGTGGTACAAAAGGATTAAGAATGGGGAAGTCAGTTAAGAACAAGAATTCGCACAACTGGTTAGAAATGTTAAAAAAGAGATAAGGAGAGCAAAAAGAAACTATGAAGTTCGTATAGCAGGCCAAGCAAAGGCAAATCCCAAAGTTTTTTTTTCAGTTATATCGAACAAAGGTTAGGGAAAGGATAGGTCCATTAAAAACCGAGACAGGTCAGACAACGGATAATGACGAAGAGATGAGTAGTATTTTTAATAAATATTTTGTCTTTATTTACTAAAGAACAACTTAACTCTATGCCTTCAGCCGAACAAGTCTAAGTGGGTGGGGATGAAGACAGGTTCACTAGTCTAACAGTTACCAGGGATGATATTATTAAACAAATAGTAAAACTCAAACCAAACAAATCCCCAGGGCCGGATGAAGTGTTTGCCAGCGTGCTTAAAGAATGCAAAGAGGAGCTTTGCGAGCCATTTTATACCATATTTAATAAATCATTAGAGTCAGGCAGAGTGCCAGAGTCGTGGAAGGTTGCTAATGTGGTACCAATTTTTAAGAAAGGGGATAGATCACTTGCATCAAACTATCGGCCAATTAGCCTAACGTCTATTGTGGGAGTTACTTGAATCGATAATTGCAAATAGCATTCGTCTTCATCTTGAAAAACATAAATTAATAAACGAGTCATAACATGGTTTTACAAATGACCGTTCATGTTTAACAAATTTGCTGTCTTTTTATTTCAGCATAATTGAGGCAGTTGATAGTGGTAAGGTTTGCGATGTTGTGTACCTTGACTTTAGCAAAACTTTTGATACAGTGCCACATGAAAGACTGACTAAAAAGATAGAGGCTCAAGGTATTATGGGTGCTATATTAAGTTGGATTAGGGCATGGCTATTCCAAAGGAAACAGAGAGTTAGTATAAATGGGGTTAAGTTAGAGTGGGAAAATGTTGTAAGTGGAGTGACTCAAGGTTCTGTCCTGGGACCTCTGTTGTTTATAATATATATAAATGATTTAGATTCAGGTTTGAGTAGCAACATTTGCAAATTTGTCGATGATACAAAAATCAGAAGGGAAATTAACACAGAAGACTCACTAACACTACAAGTTGATCTAAATAGGGGTTTGAAATGGTCAAAAGATTGGCAGATGCAATTTAATGCTGATAAATGTAAAGTTCTGAGGCTAGGTAATGATGATAGAGTTACAAGATACGAGCTAGATGGTGTTGAGATTGCGAAGTCGGATTATGAAAGGGATCTGGGAGTTATGATTAGTAAAAATTTAAAACCAAAGGATCAGTGCATGAATGTTCGTAATAAGGCAAATAGGACACTGGGATTTATTAATCGAAGCGTTAGTAACAAGACACCTGGTGTTGTTCTTCAGCTATATCTTGCTCTGGTTAGGCCCCATTTAGATTATGTAGTTCAGTTTTGGTCGCTGTACTATAAAATGGATATAAATTCACTTGATTCAATTTACCAGCATTAGAAAACAAGATGAAACAAAGGATAGCCACCAAAACAGCAAAACGTATTGGAACCACCACCAGACTGTCAATCAAAGACTGCATACAGAAATCCTTCCAGAAAAACCTTCAATATAGAACAAGCACATGGATGGATAATCTGGTCAAGATTCTAGAGAAAGTGAACATGAAATGGGCCATTAAAAAACAAAGGGGGGGAAGATAGACCATATCAACACTTTCGGCAGCCTCTTCCATGGGAAGAATCGAATCTAAAAATAATCATTGAAGGATTACCAGTTAAAAAATAAGCATGTGACCCGCAGAGGCTCAAGGAAGCAATAGAACAACAAATGGAAACCATCTCAAGACCGACAACGACTCACATCTTCACAGACGGATCAGTTGATCAAGAAAGAGGTTCTGCTGGGGCAGCAGTTTACACTACCAACCACGAAGCTTACTTCGTGGAGCATGAATAGTGGGTGCTCAACATTGCAAACAGAATTATATGCCCTGAAGGAGGCCATAAACTATACAATTGAGAATAATTTACATGATGTCATCATTCATACCGACTCTAAATCTTCGCTCCAGGCATTGTTATCCAGTCAGCACAGAGATAATATACAACTCCTCACGGAAATTCAACATATAGGAAAAGAAACCAATAATCTAGGGCTGTCACTCACCCTAAATTAGATACCAAGTCACATTGGCATAGATGGTAATGAAAAGGCAGACTCACTAGCAAAAACTGCCACTGCTCTACCTGTTGTACAGGTTCAAATACCTCCAAGTTTTTCACAGATTAAGGAGCAAATCAAAAAGAAAATATTCTCAATTATCAAAGGTCGCCACAGAGCCAAAGTAGCGGAAGGAAGATCCACTGCGATATGGTACGAACAAGCCACTGGGTACTCCTCTTTCAAGCCTGGCAAAAAGATATCCAGAGACATTGCAGTAGCCATACACAAACTCGGACTTGGTTACAAGTGCTGCTGGGAGGTATTGAACCCAATAGTTAAAGAGTGTCACATCTGTGGAACAGAAGCAGAGGCGCCACTATTGCACTACTTACTGGAATGTGAAGCTACTGAAGCCCTGTGCATCAAACTCAACATTAGTCCAACGACAGCAGCTGCATTAGATGCAAATTCCACCGCGACTACAATGATTAGAAAAGTCGTTGAGGAATGGGACTCATTAGTGAGTATTCTGCATCTACATCCGCCACCAAGATAATGTTAATAAAACAAGACTAAAACCAGTGCACTAAAACAGAAACGATAAACAAACAGGGAAATGGAGGAATCCCCTCCTCCAGGTTAAGCTTAGACCCAAATATCACAGAAACAAGGTGAATAACCGAACTCAATTACGGGCTCACCATAGCCAGTGCTACATGGACACTTCGTCCTGAGTAGCTAAATCTGAAACAACAACAACAACAGAGTGGGAAAATGTTGTAAGTGGAGTGCCTCAAGGCTCTGTATTGGGACCTCTTGTTTATAATATATATAAGTGATTTAGATTCAGGTTTGAGTAGCAACATCTGCAAATTTGCCGATGATACAAAAATCGGAAGGGAAATTAACACGGAAGAAGACTCACTAACACTTCAAGTTGATCTAAATAGGGTTTTGAAATGGTCAAAAGATTGGCAGATGCAGTTTAATGCTGATAAATGTAAAGTTCTGAGGCTAGGTAATGATGATAGAGTTACAAGATACGAGCTAGATGGTGTCGAGATTGCGAAAGGGATCTGGGAGTTATGATTAGTAAGAATTTAAAACCAAAGAATCAATGCATGAATGTTCGTAACAGGGCAAATAGGACACTGGGATTTATTAATCGAAGCGTTAGTAACAAGACACCTGGTGTTGTTCTTCAGTTATATCTTGCTCTGGTTAGGCCCCATTTAGATTATGCAGTTCAGTTTTGGTCGCCGTAATATAGAATGGATATAAATTCTGTTTATCTGGTGGAAGTGGGGTCCCTCGATTGTTTCAAGCGCGGGTTGGACATGTATATGAGTGGGATTGGGTGGTTATAGATAGGAGCTGCCTCATATGGGCCAATAGGCCTTCTGCAGTTACCTTTGTTCTTATGTTCTTATGTAAATTGCATCTTCCAATCTTTTGACCATTTCAAAACCCTATTTAGATCAACTTGAAGTGATAGTGAGTCTTCTTTCGTGTTAATTTCCCTACAGACTTTTGTATCGAAAACGAATGGTATTCGCGATTATCGATTAAGAACATAAGAACAAAGGTAACTGCAGAAGGCCTATTGGCCCATATGAGGCAGCTCCTATCTATAACTACCCAATCCCACTCATATACATGTCCAACCCACGCTTGAAACAATCGAGGGACCCACCTCCCTTCAAGTAACTTTCAAGTAACTTTCTCACAATAGACGTTAGGCTAATTTGCCGATAGTTTGATACAAGTGATCTATCTAATAAGATCACTTGCGTCACTAATAGCCAGTCAGGCGCAGTCACAGTGAGAGGTTGTGTTAGCTAGAGCTCCGATTGCAGTAATATTATTATAGCAATAATGGAAGGATTAGTAATGATGAATCTAACCGATGAATCTAGTTGGAACTCTGAGAGCAGAGATGGATTTCCTACGGGAGGAGGTACGACAGCTGAAACATCGAGAAGAAACGAAGGAGGAGACCAATATTAAAAAGACCTCGTCGTGGAAAGTCATAAAGGCCAGGGGGTCTTAAGAAGACCTTGACAAGGCCGCCTACAGACGCCCTAAGGACTTCAAATTCATTTACCATGTTGGAAGACGAGTGCTGTGGTGAGCCTGCAGTTCACTCGAAAGGGAAATCAACGAAGAGCAACGAATCACAGGCCCCGCATAGTACTCAGAAAGTTAAGGAGGTACCTAAACGAATTTTGGTTGTGGGAGATTCCCAGGTGAGGTATTTGGACAGGACGTTTTGTGCCAGAGATAGGGGGAACAGTTTAAGGGTTTGCTATCCAGGAGCTGGAATTGGAGATATTGTTGACAACATGAAAGATATAATGACGGGAAATGGGAACAAACCCATTATTTGTATTAGTGCAGGGGGTAATGATGTTGGACGAGTTAGGAGTGAGGAACTGATATAGAAATTTAACAAAGCCATAGAATTAGGAGCAAGGGGGGAATCCCGATCATATGTGGCATTCTTCCAAGGAAGAGCGTTGTGAATGAATGGTTGTCGAGGGCACTTGGTGTCAATTGCCGGCTGGAAAGATATTGCAAATCAAATGCAATGTCTTTCATAGACAACTGGGAACACTTCTATGGAACAAATGAAATGTATGCTCGTGATGGGGTGCATCTATCGAGGGCTGGGGTTGTTGCTGTTGCGAACTCGTTGGAACCAAAGGCATTTGTTTGGGTTTAAACTGTTAGTAGATAGTGGTATAAGAATTGATAGGGAGGAAGGAGGTAATAAAAGTATGTGTTTATTTGAGAAACAAATTGGCAAAATCATCAGGGAAAGAGAAGGGCCTCAAAAAACAATTCATTTAGAGTATATTACACTAACACTAGAAGTCTAAGGAACAAAATAAACGAGTTAAATGCTCTTGTCTGCACAGAAAAAATAGATATTATTGCACTTACCGAAACGTGGATGAATGTAGAAAATAGAGAACTATTAGCTGAATATCAAATAAATGGATTCAAACTATTTCACACAGATAGATATATTAGACGAGGAGGGGGAGTAGCCATATATGTTAGGGAAACCATAACTGTGTACAAATGTTTTTAAATTAATTTGTATTATTTTCAGTAAACACAAAAACAAATGTATTAAAAAAATAGATATTTGAGGTAACAAAACGGGCTTTAGTCGTTATAGGCTTTTTTACCGAACAAGGGCAACAATGTCTGCTGGCTATTTATTGATGATTTTAACTAATGTAACTTATTTTTCTATAAGTCTGTGTTGGGTTTAGTTGGGTAATCATACGAATTTTGTTTGTAATTAGTTTCAAAATGGTGTTTCAAGTTACTGACTTTGCAATGACTGAGTGGCACTTGGCAGAAAATGATCACTATTATACTCAAGCATTAATTGTTAATTCTTTCCATTGGGAACTTTAGTGTCTTATTTAGGTTGAGTAGACTGGTTTCTGATTACAAATTTGTTTTTTGCCTCATGGTGAATACTGTAATTGGGGGGGGGGGGGGCAAGATTTTAAAATTAAAGGGAAAATTAGGGGAAATATGGCGGTAATGACTATTACTAAACATTCATAATAATTATAAAATGGTTACACGGTGGTTATACATTGGTTACATATTTGTTTCAGTGTGACAAATATGTCTCCAATTCATTTAAATTGGTTACCAATTCTAAAATTCATTTATCATAAAACTTTTCTTTCTAATTTTCAGTCATGGGAGTCTTAAGCATTTTAAGGTATTCACTAAAATATGAATATACTGTAATATATATTATACACAATTTTGTATTCTATTATGAATATAATACATTTGATAGAGGTCGGTAGAGCTAATATAATGCAACAGCTTGGAAAAAATGTAGAACACATATATAAAGCCTAAACAGTTAATTTGCTAACTCTTGGTGATTAAATACATCATCTTGATATTGAATTGTTTTGATTGAGGTTAATAATGATAAAATCTGCCGTCAGTGTGATATCTGCAGCAAGCACGGGGATGAGCTGAAGTATTGGTGTCGGGAGTGTAAGGTGGCCCTGTGTAGCCTATGTCTCTACACCGACCACCAGAATGGCCACCACGTCCACCTGGCCAAGGCCTACATCCAGGAGAGGAAGTCTCAACTCAAGGACCACATCAAACTTATAATAGATAAGAATGTTGCCAAAAAGAAAGAGGAAATAAGAAATGTTTTCTTCAACAGCTCTCGGAATATTATCACTTTGTGCCAAAAGAGTACTTTTCTGCATGATTTCGAGAAGGATATGAAGCTTCTTTCATCGGAAATTGAAAAAGTTTGCAGTCTCGACTCTCTGTTTGTGTCTGAAGCAAAGGTAAAACATATTGAGATGAATAAGTTAAACTCTCTATTATCTAGAAATGAATCTACAGAAGATTCTGAAGATGAATGTGTAGCTTTTGAAGATGCAGCAGAAGGCAAGACTGAGGCTGATGAAGCAGCAGAAGGCAAGACTGAGGCTGATGAAGCAGCAGAAGGCAAGACTGAGGCTGATGAAGCAGCAGAAGGCAAGACTGAGGCTGATGAAGCAGCAGAAGGCAAGACTGAGGCTGATGAAGCAGCAGAAGGCAAGACTGAGGCTGATGAAGCAGAAGAAGGCGAGACCGAGGATGATGAAGCAGCAGAAGGCGAGACCGAGGATGATGAAGCAGCAGAAGGCGAGACCGAGGATGATGAAGCAGCAGAAGGCGAGACCGAGGATGATGAAGCAGCAGAAGGCGAGACCAGACAATGTTTGAAACTGGAATGTCGGGATGGTAGACTCCTAGTTCACTCACTCGCCCAGCGTGTCGACACCCATCTCTTCGTGCAGGTAATTATGACGTTCTACAAGAACATAATTGAGATCAGGCAATACTCATTCATTGCAATCAAATAAAAGGTAATATAAGGATTTTCATGTTTCTTAATATTGTTGCCTAATTAAATACAGTACAGCTAATCCTGAGCAGTGTGAGCATGACAGTCAACCCAATGGACAGTAAGACTCACCACTTGCTGTTTCAAACACTGAAAGGTGTAAAGTATAAAATGCAATAATTAATGAACAGCAAAAACTTGAAGGATTTTTTGTTTTAGTCAATTTTTCACATTTACGTTTCCCCTGACTTTTTATTATAATTATGACTTTTTTTTGTTACGTTATTCATTAAATTTCCATAGTAATGACCGCTCCACTAGACTGTTTTTTTCCCATTACAGATTACGTCTGAGGTGTTTCTGGAGCTGAGTGTTGGAGGCCGGAGCTTGGGTCGTGTCTATATCCAGCTGAAGCCTCGCCTGCGTCACTCACAGCAGTTCATGCTACTCTGTCTCGGTACTATGGGGCCTTCCTTTGTAGGCTCCTCAATAAGTAGTGTGAACCATAAGAATGGATTAAATGAAAATATTGTGGTTAACTCCTATACTGACAGAATTACGTCTGGTAATACAAACTTACTGACGTCTCTGGATTCCGACTGCGATATCAATACAGTATGGGAAGGCTCAGTGACTTCTGTGGATTTGGGATTAAATAAATTCGGATTTATGATCTGGACCAAAGGTCACAAAGTCGAATACTGTCCTTCACGCGGTTATAATTACTATGAAGTGGATGCTGTCTGCAATGACCATTTTCCTTTTGGCGAGATAAGTTCAGGGATGGAAGTGGTCCTGGCTGCCATAGCTCATAACCCCATCACTCAAGTCACTATAACAGGGTGTGGCCATGTGGAAAATAATTGGTAACCAATTACCCGTTAATTGGTTCCACAAATCAACAACCCTCTTACCGAAATAAGTATTAACCTAAGTCTTTCCTAAATCTAAACTTATCCAATTGATGCCCATTGTTTCGCTTTCTGTCTCGTGTTGATACTTTTAATACCCTATTAATATCCCCTTTGTTATGTCCATTCATCCACTTGTAAACCTCTATCATGTCACCCCTAACTCTTCTCCTTTCCAGTGAATGCAACTTAAGCTTTGTTAATCTTTCTTCATATGAAAGATTTCTAATTTGGGGAATTAACTTAGTCATCCTACGCTGGACACGTTCAAGTGAATTTATATCCATTCTATAGTACGGCGACCAAAACTGAACTGCATAATCTAAATGGGGCCTAACTAGAGCAAGATATAGCTGACGAACAACACCAGGTGTCTTGTTACTAACGCTTCGATTAATAAATCCCAGTGTCCTATTTGCCTTATTACGAACATTTATGCATTGATCCTTTTGCTTTAAATTCTTACTAACCGTAACTCCCAGATCCCTTTCGCGATCCAACTTCGCAATCTCAACACCATCTAGCTCGTATCTTGTAACTCTATCATCATTACCTAGCCTCAGAACTTTACATTTATCAGCATTAAATTGCATCTGCCAATCTTTTGACCATTTCAAAACCCTATTTAGATCAACTTGAAGTGATAGTGAGTCTTCTTCCGAATTAATTTCCCTTCCGATTTTTGTATCATCGGCAAATTTGCAAATGTTGCTACTCAAACCTGAATCTAAATCATTTATATAAATTATAAACAACAGAGGTCCCAAGACAAAGCCTTGAGGCACTCCACTTACAATATTTTCCCACTCTGACTTAACTCCATTTATACTAACTCTCTGTTTCCTTTGGTATAGCCATGCCCTAATCCAGCTTAGTATAGCACCCCTAATACCATGAGCCTCTTATCTTTTTAATCAGTCTTTCATGTGGCACTGTATCAAAAGCTTTGCTAAAGTCTAGGTACACAACATCACAATCCTTACCACTATCAACTGCCCCAACTATGCTAGAATAAAAAGATAACAAATTTGTTAAACATGAACGGCCATTTATAAAACCATGTTGCGACTCAATTATTAATTTATGTTTTTCAAGATGAAGACGAATTTTATTTGCAATTATCGATTCGAGTAACTGTCCCACAATAGACGTTAGGCTAATTGGCCGATAGTTTGACGCAAGTGATCTATCTCCTTTCTTAAAAACTGGTATCACATTAGCAACTTTCCATAATTCTGGCACTCTGCCTGACTCTATTGATTTATTAAATATGGTAGACAGTGGGTCACAAAGCTCCTCTTTGCATTCTTTAAGCACCCTGGCAAACACTTCATCCGGCCCTGGGGATTTGTTTGGTTTGAGTTTTACTATTTGTTTAAGAACATCCTCCCTGGTAACTGCTAAACTCGTCAACCTGTCCTCGTCCCCACCCACATAGACTTGTTCGGCTGAAGGCATATTGTTAAAATCCTCTTTAGTAAATACAGATATAAAATATTTATTAAAAATACTACTCATCTCTTCATCACTGTCTGTTATTGGACCTGTCTCAGTTTTTAATGGACCTAACCTTTCCCTAATCTTTGTCCGGTATAACTGGAAAAACCCTTTAGGATTTGTCTTCGCTTGCTCTGCTATGCGAACTTCATAGTTTCTTTTTGCTTTCCTTATCTCTTTTTTAGTATTTCTAACCAGTTGTACGAATTCCTGTTCTAAACTGACTTCCCCATTCTTAATCCTTTCGTACCATGCTCTCTTTTTTACCTATAAGGTTCTTCAGATCCATTGTTATCCACTTTGAATCATTAGTATTCGATCTATTCAATTTATATGGTATACTACGTTCCTGGGCTTTGCTTAGAATATTTTTAAATAGGTTATATTTTGAATCCACATCGAAAACCCCTTTTACGTCACCTATCGCTGGATTCACGTCTAGCTCCAATACCGGCCCACATCCAATACCCAAGACTTTCCAATCTATTTGGCCCAAAAAAATTCTTAGGCTATTGAAATCAGCTTTTCGAAAATCAGGCACTTTAACAGAATTTTCTCCTACAGATCTATTCCATTCAATGCTAAATCTGATTTCTTTATGATCACTGTTCCCTAGCTCACTCCCTATTTCGAAGTCCTTAATTTGTGTTTCCCTGTTAGTTAACACTAAATCTAAAATATTATTTCCCCGCGTTGATTCCTTAATGTGTTGCGTAAGAAAGCAATCGTCATTAATTCTAGAAAATCTTCTGCTTCATTATTCCCTGTTTTGTTCAACCAGTTTATTCCACTAAAATTAAAGTCACCCATGACATAAATACTGTTACATCTAGATGCTCTAGATATTTCAGCCCATAGATGCTTTGCTTCCATTCTGTCTAAATTTGGTGGCCTATATATAACTCCTATTATAATATTATTTGCTTTATCGTTTAATTCTATCCAAATAGTTTCTGTATGTGGCCCAGTTTTGATTCCCTCTTTGAGACTACATTTCAAATTGTCCCTAACATATATGGCTACTCCCCCTCCTCGTCTAATATATCTATCTGTGTGAAATAGTTTAAACCCATTTATTTGATATTCAGCTAATAGCTCTGTTTTCTACATTCATCCACGTTTCGGCAAGTGCAATAATATCTATTTTTCCTGTGCAGACAAGAGCATTTAGATCGTTTATTTTATTTCTTAGACTTTTAGTGTTAGTATAATATACCCTAAGTGAATTGATATTTTGAGGCCCTTCTCTTTCCCTGATCATTTTGCCAATTCTTTTCTCCCACAAACACATACTTTTATTACTTCCTTCCTCCAAATCAATTCCTATACCACTATCTACTAACAGTTTAAACTCAAACAAACACCTCTAACCACTGGTTCCAACGAGTTCGCAACAGCAACAACCCCAGCCCTCGATAGATGCACCCCATCCCGAGCATACATTTCATTTTTTCCATAGAAGTGTTCCCAGTTGTCTATGAAAGATATTGCATTTGATTTGCAATATCTTTCAAGCCGGCAATTGACACCAAGTGCCCTCGACATCCATTCATTTCCCACTCCCTTTCTTGGAAGAATGCCACATATGATCGGGATTCCTTCCTTCCTTCTATGTTGTTGTTGTTGTTATAGATTCAGCTACTTGGAACAAGTTCCAAGTAGCACGGGCTATGGTGAGCCCGTAACTTACCTGGCACAGGAGCGAGGCAAGTAGCACGGGGGGCTATGGTAAGCCCGTAGTGTACTTACCTGGCACAGGAGCGGTGCTGACTCTGGCCTCTAACTGTTGTTGTTGTTTAAGATTCGCTACTCAGAACGATAAGTTCCAGTAGCACGGGCTATGGTGAGCCCGTAAGTGGAGGCTCTTTGGAGCCATTATCTATATCAGTGGCTGATACTAGAGATGTGGCGATGAATGGGGGTCTTCATGATGGTTTTCAGCCTGGAGGGCTGGCTATACCAGTTATGGAGCTGGATGGGTTAGTGTAGACCTCTAGGTTTTCCGTTTTTTCTTTGCCTGCGACTTTGGCTGAGCAGCGCTGTCGTTAGAGTTTGGTGACGTGGCCTCCATGAGGAAGTCTTGAACCGTGTAGGTGTCGTATTTGTGATGCGGCGGTGGAGCTCGTACTGTGATTTCCTTGTCTGAGGAGTCCGTAACCTCCGTAGTGGGCGTTTTTGTCTTTCGCCTCGCAGCCTTAGGTAGGTTTAGGTGTCGTTGGTTGGTGGTTGTAGCTATTTCAGGGGCACTGGTGGTGCTGTTATCGTTTGTAGACAGCACGTCTGCTAGCGCGGCTGCTGAGATAGTGATGGTAGGAGTGTTGGGAGCTGGAGAAGGAATTACCTCTGTTTGTGTCGCCCGGGTCATGGGCGGTTCTGGAGTCGGTGTTGAAGTTGACCACATGGTCGTCCTGGTGGTAGTCTCCGGAGTGGTAGAGGAGGCAGTGAGATTTACGCTAGTGGCTATGATGGGGGCCAGGCCATTGTCTATGTATAATGCGTTTAGTTCACTGACAAAGCGCTGGTTGTCTGGTCCTGCAAGCCTTTCCGCTAGTTTAAGAAGACCAGGGATAATGCCTGCACGTGATGCAGGGGGCTGTGAAGGAGCCTGTGGGACCTTGGGTCCCCAATGAGAAGGCTGTGTCGCCTGCTGGGAGGAGCCACATGTTGGTAGGACCGGAAAGTCTTCTGGTCGACTAGTGAGAGCTAAGGTGGTGAGTTGAACGCTTGGGGCTCTGGTCGAGGAGGTAGACGAGTTGTTTCTTTTGGCTTCAACCTGGGCCTTGATGATTTCCTGTCTGCGGGGGCAGCGGTAGGAAATTGCGGGGTGATTGCCATCACAGAGCAAGCAGTGATGGACTGTTGCCTTGCATATGGAGTAGTGATGGTCCAGTGCGCACAGGCTGCACCTCTGGACAGGGTGCTGACACTTGTTGGTCGGGTGGGAGAGCTCGTAGCACTTAAAGCACTGCTGGATCTCATGGTATCGTTCCTTTTTTATTTGGTGGGGTGGTATTTTTAGGCCGAAGCAGTAGAATCCTTGTGTGGCAGCCTGGGTGGCCGCAGCTATGGTGGTGAACGTAATCTTCATTGATGTTTTGTCGGTGTTGCAGAACTCTAGGTTGAATACTGACAGGTTTGGATTTTCGTCCTCGATATTGTTTATGATATGATGTTGAGGTCGCTCAGCGATCCACCGGCTGGTCCTGCTGGTAAAAACAGTTCTTCCGGCCAGGAACTGACGTGGGAAGTGAGGATGTAGGTAGTGCTCTTTGCGAAGAATGGCATCGTTAGTGAGGAGTTTTTCTAGCTCCTCTTCACATGAAAAGTAGAGCACGATATCTTCACCTTCCTGACTAATGTCAGCGGGTTTGAGGCCAGTTACGTCCTTTAGGACCTTTAAAGTATTGCTTCTTCCGATAGCATGACCGTCAAGTGGAGTAGCTCTGACCTTAAGACGTTTGGGTCGCATTGTGACCACACTGCGCCTTGTGATGTGTTGGCGGGAGATGTCTCTCCCGTCCTGTGGGGGCTTCTAACTGATTGATTGATTGATGAAGATTAAGCCACCCAAAAGGTGGCACGGGCATGAATAGCCCGTAA